CCCCTGGGGAAAGGCCAGGCAGACATCCTTACCGCCTCCCTTAGGTGTGGAGTGAGCAGGACTTCCAGTACCTGAGACAGAAGCTGTCACCTACCTACCCAGCTGCACACCACTTCCGGAGGTGAGAAGCCCACGGGCCTGAAGCCTGTTTTCATCCCAGGAGGCTCTTGGCCCTGCCAGCCCTTCCCTATCCTGTCTGCACCCTCCAGTCTCCTCCAGCCTTCTCTCCCTCTGGATGTGAGAAGGGGAAGGGTGAACCAAGAAGGTCCTATGACTTCAGCCCATTTCAGCTTTGTTTTCTGGCTGCCGTATACTCCTCCAAAGGCTGTTGCCTTTGTTCTAGGGCTAGTCCCAGCAGTAGAAAAAGAAAAAAATAGCTGATCAAAGCTGGAAGACAAGGGAGGGGAAGAGGGCTGGGTGTCTCTCCCTGTTTTTCTGGTTATTAAGCAGGGCTTGGCTTTCAGCGGAATCATTGGCAGTGGCCTCTGTGTCTTCTCCAAACACCCAATCCAGGAGCTCACCCAGCACGTCTACACCCTCAATGGCTACCCCTACATGGTAAGCCAGACCTCGGACCTCTTCCACCTCCCTTCCCCACCTCCAGTAATACAAGGTACAGGAGGCAGTCCTCTGAGAGCTGCAGGGGATGGGCAGAAAGACGGTGGTGGTGCCCTGAGTTTCTGTCTCCTCCTGCCTGCAGATCCATCATGGTGACTGGTTCAGTGGGAAGGCTGTGGGGCTGCTGGTGCTCCATCTAAGCGGCATGGTGCTCAACGCCTATGTGACCCATGTGAGTGAAGCTGGCAGTGCCTAGGGCTGGGACATGCAGCCCAGTCCTGGGACAGAGAGATGGTACTCCTCTAGCTCTAATGCCTGGGGGTGAGGTGTGGGGGCAAGATCTTATAAGGAAGCAATGGGCAAGGCTTATCCATTCTATACCCAACACCATGCCAAGTGACAGACACAGGCTTGATTCAGACATACCCCTGGGACCCTCAGTCTTATCTGCTGGATCTCATCTGTCTTGCTCAGCTCCATGCCGAATACAATCGACAGAAGGACATCTACCTAGCACATCGCGTGGCCCAAGCTTGGGAACTGGCCCAGTTCATCCAGTGTGTGAGCCTGGGTTTGAACGGGGAAGTGGGATGGGACCCAGGGGCTGGGGGTGAACAAGGCCCCAGTCATGGGGAAGAGCTGGTGAGGGAAGAATTCCCGCCTCACCAACCTGGTTCCCCCAGCCACACATCCAAGAAGGCAGACGTGGTTCTGTTGTGTGGAGACCTCAACATGCACCCGGAAGACCTGGGCTGCTGCCTGCTGAAGGAGTGGACAGGGCTGCGTGATGCCTACCTTGAAACTCGGGACTTCAAGGTGAAAGGACTTGCCTGTTACTTCCCCACCTATATCCCCAGCTTCTCTCCCTCCTCCTCCCCTACATCCTAGTATGAGCCAGTGATTCCCTTAGGGCTCTGAAGAAGGCAACACCATGGTACCCAAGAACTGCTACGTCAACCAGCAGGAGCTGAAGCCGTTTCCCTTTGGTGTCCGCATTGACTACATGCTTTACAAGGTTGGGCTCCTCCCCTCAACATACTTTCATCCACTGTGTCTCTCTGTCTACCACCAACCTGTATAGATCCTTTGCTCAACTAGTCTAGTCTTGGACCACTCATGGTTGGAAAGTGGGGTAGCCAGGAGCTGGTTCTCTGGGAAGAGGCCCTCATATATAAGCTTCTCTCTGGCCCTTACTTTTCCTAGGCAGTTTCTGGGTTTTACATCTCCTGTAAGAGTCTTGAAACCACTACAGGCAACGACCCTTACAGCGGCACCCCCCTCTCTGATCATGAAGCCCTGATGGCTACTCTGTTTGTGAGGCACAGCCCCCCACAGCAGAGCCCCAACTCTATCCACAGTGAGTCACCCCCACCCTTAACTTGGCCCTTGCCCCGCTTGAGGCAGCCCTTCCACTCTTGACTCTCTCCTGCCCCACTGCCCTGCCCTGTTGTAGGACCAGCAGAGAGGTCGCCGTTGATGAGTGTGCTAAAGGAGGCCTGGACGGAGCTGGGTCTGGGCATGGCTCAGGCTCGCTGGTGGGCTGCCTTCGCTAGCTATGTGATTGGCCTGGGGCTGCTTCTCCTGGCACTGCTGTGTGTCCTGGCGGCTGGAGGAGGGGCCAGGGAAGCTGCCATACTGCTCTGGACCCCCAGCGTAGGGCTGGTGCTGTGGGCAGGTGCGTTCTACCTCTTCCACGTGCAGGAGGTCAATGGCTTATATAGGGCCCACGCTGAGCTCCAGCATGTGCTAGGAAGGGCAAGGGAGGCCCAGGACCTGGGCCCAGAGCCTCAGCCAGCCCTACTCCTGGGGCAGCAGGAGGGGGACAGAACTAAAGAACAATAAAGCTTGGCACTTTAGTGGCTCTGCTTTTTTACTTGTAGAGGCAATGGGAGCCAGGGGTCAGTGTGACTGTCACACTACAGACCTTTAGGCTCCTACACATCTCCTGTCCCCATACACGCCCCCACCTCTCACCTGTAGGCAGTGTGAGCCCTGTTTGTGGCAGAAACATTTTAATTGTAAACAGCAAGGCTCTCTGCCAGGCAGCCCAGATGAACAGGGGTGGCACTGTGCTGGGGTGAGGTGTTTTCCTTGTGAGAACGAAAGCAGACAGTCCACCCTCTTCTAGCCCTGGGCCCCTATCCCCAAGGCCAGCTCGCTGAGCCTGCGCTCCTCCTGCAAGCGGATGAGGGCATCTCTCTGGTTGACCAAATCCACCAGCTTCCTCAGGACCTGGTCCTCAGCCTGCCGATCAGCAGCTGTCTTTAGGGTTTCTAAAACGGGGGAGACAAAGCTCAGAGAACAGGGAACTAGGCAGGGAAGCAGGAGAGCCACAGCCTAATCCCAGCCTATGTGATTTCTATAACCCGGGCTTTGTTTCCTAAGCTGCCAAATTAGGACGGTTGCCAACACCAGTGGTTTTCTAGCACTACTGAGCAGCACCATTTTTTTTTTAAGGAGATCTTGTATAAAAGCCAACTGTGCAGCTCTGATTGAACTGAAGTGAGAAAGGACCATGCTGCTTGATCAGTAGCTGAGATCATGAGGCTTGCATGACACAACCCTGGGATGTGTCTGCCTCTCCCCACATTTCACCTACCTTCCCGGTTCATGTAGCCTCGTAGCTCCTGGTCCAGCTGCCACTGTTTCTCCTCCAGGTTCAACTCCTGCACCCTGTGGAGGTCAGGGATTGTAGAAGCAGAGCTGTCTAGGGTGCCCAAGGGGCTGGAGCCTGGCCCGAGGACCACTGTCACCATCCCCTTCCCCTTACGTGATCATGAGCTCAGCCTCCTCAGCCACCAGGCTGTTTTTCTTGTCAACGAGCTGTAGCAGCTGTCCTACCCATAGTTTCTTTTGCTGTTCTGGGGAACCTGAGAAGAAGGAAGATGGGTGGGGTGGTCAGGAGGTTTCCAGCCAGCACCGAAGGAGTCACAGGCTTAGGGGCCACAGGAGAGCAGGGTGTCACCACAGTGCTAGGAGGCAGAGGGGTGTCCTAGCTTGTCACTCACTGCTCTGGCACCTCAGGGCCAGCTCCAGCTTCACGCCCTCGGCCTCTAGCTCCCTCAGGGCACCCTCGATCTCATTTAGTCGCCGTTGGATGGTCTGAGGGGTACAAGACAGGATACCCAGGAGTCTCTGGGTTGCTCGAGAACAGAGCACTGGAGGAACTCACAACTTTGACCCCATCAGAATTTTGGGAACCCCTGGGCTTCACCTGGGCCTTGCAGAACCTCTTCATCTCCTCCTCCTTCGCACGGCGCAGCAGAGTCCGACGCCATGTTGGGTAGTCATTCATGGTGCCTGAGGTCTTGGCAAAGGTCTGCAGGGCCTATGGGAGGATCAGGCCAGTCAGGGATAGGGCCTGGGCCCCCTGGTGGATAGAAGTGTTGTTTGGAAAGGCAGAAAAGAACCCGTGCTGGAAGCGGGGTAAGCTCTGATAGAAAAGGTGGAGGCCAGAGATATGACAGGCTGAGTGAGAAGACATTCCAAGAGAAGGGTGCGGAGGACGGAGTGCAGTGCAGGTTTCTCCTGTAGTGGGCTGGAGAGCGTTTCGTGGCTGCACACTGGCCCACTCACCTGTTCCACATCTGAGTCCAAAGGTACATCTTCTTCCTCTTCACTGGAGGAGGAACTCTCTTCTTCCTCCTTCTCCATGGCCGCAAGAGCTGAGAAGAAGAAGAACTGAGAAGTTCTACTGCCTCCAGCACCTGCCCCAGTCAGGCAACAGAGAGCATGGTGGTGATGGAGGCCCTGCGAGCCTGGTAGACTGAATGTGTGTGTTGGGGCATGGGAGGAACTGAGAAGAATGGAGCAGAGGAGAGGCTGGCACGGCCTGGGATCCCCACAACTTCCCTCTGTATTCCCCAGAATTCCTCTGCAGGAAGACAGTGCTCCCACCCTGTCCCATCCTGGGTCAGCACATCTGTGAGGATGGCAGTTACCTTGAGGGCTCTGGGCTGGCAGGCCCCAACCCACAAAGCTGCTCTCCAGGGCGTGGCGGGCCAAGGCGGAGCAGCTGCGGGGGGGCTTAGGTGGAGGCTCCATTTCCGGGTCAGGGGTAAGGTTAAGGGAGGACAACCGCTGGCGCTCTAGGCTGGAGAGGTGGATCCGCCGACGAGTGGGCTGGCTGGGATCTGGAACAGGACCGACCCCCTCCTGCGAGGCTGTGGGAGTTGAGAGGCCTGGTGGCATGCTATTCTCACTTGGTGTGGGGAGTTCCTGGAAAAGCCACCATGTGGTCTGGTCAGTGACCTGCCCAGGGTGGGGTGAGGTTGCGGGGTGAGGCTACCCCTTTGGAGCAAAAGTGAGCCTTGGCATTCATTTGCTTAAAACTGTTTACGAACAGTGTCCGGCTGTGTTTTAGATACTTGAGAGAACAAGAAGTGTACGCAGACAGGCATCCCTGCCTTCACAGAGCTTACGTGCCAGAAGAGAAAGACATTCAGTTACCCCCAGCAGAGCGCTGGTTTGATGAGACCCTCTTCGTCTTCCCATGCCCCAGTACACACACATGCCTTCACAGTCTTTACCGGACTCTCGGGGCCTCCATCACTGCCTTCTTCTTTGTGGTCTGGCTGGGGCAGGTGCTGGAGGCAGTAGAAATGTCCTGGAAAGGGTAGAGAGAGGAGGCATCTGGTGTGGGCAGCCCAGTGCCCAGACACGCAACAAGTTTATGAAGGAAGGTGGGGAAAACAAGACAGATTTGCAGGTGAATTTCTGCCAGCCTCCTGTTCCTCAGAACCACATATCTGGAGCTTTGGAGGGGATAGAGAAGACCCTGAGCTCAGGAGAACGAAGTGCCATCTTGAGCCTGTTTCCACCCTGTGCCCCTCTACCTCAAGCTCTTTGTCCCCCAGGCAGGACCAGGCCAAGAGTCTCTCTGGACGTCTCCCAGGCCCACTCACCATCTCCTGGGTGCTGCTCGTAGCCACCTGGCCACAGTGTGGCCTCACAGGTGTGGCAGCGGAAGCAGCTCCGGTGGAAGAAATGGCCGTCGACACAGAGGCGTTCCAGGACATACAGGTGTTCCCCACAAAGTGCACACAGGTCCCCGGCACCAGCCTGCATGGACCCCCAGGACACGGGGTTGGGCAGAGCCAAGGCCAGCTCCAAAGTTCTTTCCCTCCCATGAAACGTCCCCGCCTTGCCCTCCCCAGGCCTCTGCCTGCACACGAGGCCCTGGCTCTCACCTCCTGGTGTTGGGATGGGGGTGTCAGGGGTACACCAGGCTCTGGGTCAGGTGGCACCTCAGTACTTGGGGTCTCGGCGTCCATCTAAGGAGGTAAGTGCTCAGGCAGGGAGGGTAGAGGGGCAGGGCCAGCTGGGAGGGGATGCGTACAGATGAACAGAAGGGGCTGAAGGGAAGGGGAGTGAGGCTAGGCAGGGAGGCTGGATGGGGGGTTTTAGGACCTGGGATGGGGGCGATGAGAAATCGTGAAGACAGTATCAGGAAAGGGGATAAAATGTGGGGTAGGAGACCCACCCGCCCCTGCCTGCATTTACCTCCAAGCACAGCTTCTTGCCACCAGCATCCTCTGCCTTTTCCTGCAATAAGTCCTAACAGCTCTGAGTGTGACGTTTTGAGCCCCCAGTCCTTGCCACTTTCTGAATGTCCTCACCGTCACTCCAGGATCTCCACTGGGTACCCCCTGCCCACTCCTCCCTGCTCAGTTCCAGCCCTGCCTAGACTCTTCACCTTGGCCCGGGATCGCTGCAGGGTCCTCTGAAGTTTACCAAGGAATAATACAGCACTGGAGGTCCCTGGGGAGGCCTGGCTGACAGGGCCTGCAGGGAGAGCCAGGGCATCAGTGTGGATGGGGGTGCCAACACTGTACCCCTAGAACAGACAGACAGTCACTCCCCAACCCAGAAGGACACCTCTCCCAAGCTGGCCCTCAGAGGGTACCTTCTCCCTCTTTCTGTCACACACACAGACACCTCCCCATCCCACCTATCCTGCCCACCTTCCTTTCAAGTCACCTGGGCTGTGGGCCGTGTTCTTGAAGGCACTGTGGAAGTGGCTGAGGTAGGCAATGAGGCCCAGTGGGTCGCTCCCTGCCACCACGGCCTGTGCAGACACCACCGGTGTGATGCCCAGCTCATGCTCTGCCACCTTTAGTGCCCAGGCAGTTGCTTCCAGAGCCCCCAGCCCCTGCAGCTCTGAGGGTTCCCTGTGGGGTGTCAGGGAGAAAAGCCAACTAGAGACAAGAACCTAGCCCCACTGAGGGGAGAAGGGGCAGCAGGAGGGGAGGGACAGCAAGCAGTGGCTGGGGTACAAGAAGGCTTGAAGGTAGGTGTGCGGTCTCTGCTACCCAGTGCCCAACCCAGTGACACTACTGGCTTTGGGGGCCTGTGCCATTCACAAAGCTCTCCACTATCTGAATGCATTAGAGCCTCACAAGACTGTCGGCAGATGCAAGGAAGCACACTGTCTCTAGGACTCAGCTGGATGTGCTAACACTACACTGAGATCATGAGAGAGAGGTGGGTCTGCCAGGGACTCACAGCAGGCCAGGCTGCAACCGGTGCACCAGGGCACACAGAGCTAGCCCGTCAGTCCAGGAGGAAGACAAATCGGAGACGTGGACTCCCGGGTACCCAGCTGTCTGCTCCTGGCACCAGCGTAGCAGCTCCTCCTGGGTGCCTGCCGACCCGCCTGCCGACCCTGGGAGAGAAGGCTGCGCTGTGCCCAAGGCCCCCTCTGCCCATCCCAGGCATATAGGGAGCCCAGCTGCTGGGTGTGGGGGTTCCGTAGGGGAGGAGGAGCCAGGGACCCACCTCTACTAGAGCACCAGCCTAAAGCTCACTGTCAGCAGCCCTCCTTCATCCCAATTCTCTTTTTAAGAAATCTCTTTGGAAT